ATTGCTGAGAATCAAACGAACTGTTTTTAATTTGATAAATTTTCTGGAACGTTTACAATCGTTCTATAATCAAACCAATATGCAAAAAAAAATTTGAATTTAAAACGGTTTGAACATTTGGTTAAAAAATCAAAATATACAGTCGACCCCCCTATAATTACGGTCCCAATAATTACGATTCCTATAAAACTGCGAAAAAATTGTGACGGTATCCGTAAAAAACAGTAAAAAACCCCCTATAATTACGTTAAACGTCATCGGGTAGCCGAACTACTTTCCCGCCGTCCGTAGCGCCACGCTACGGAGAGATTTCTATCATCTGGACAGTATTATANGCATACAATACTATGATGTTTGCAAAAATTAACATCAAATCAAAGTATTACAGCTTCATCTAATTTATTACATATTAAATTACTTCAAATGTTGTATGATAAAATAATTTTTAAATGAGAAAGGCTTTCTAATGAATGAAAATTGCTACTTCAAAATTATAAGTTAAAATATATTCTGCATTTTTATCAATGACAACTTTAAGCCTTATTAGAGAGAGATTTTTTTAAAATAAATTACGACTGTTGAAAAGAAATGGTAAGATGAATTTTGTTTAGTCCAAAAATAGGTATTTTTTTTATTATAAATTATAAGGCTGTTCCCGAGATAAAACCCAGTAAATTTACAACAAACAACAACACATTTCTAAAAATTACTCTTTTAAAACAACTGATAAAATATCACAGGAATTTAATTCTAAATATTCTTTAATTCTTCAATGTATATGTTTCCTCGGCATAACTTTTTATGTCATAGCCATAGTCAAATCTTGAAAATTTGATAATTATCCTACTTCATAATTATCTTGGAAGACAAGCATTGTGTGTTAAATTATAAGACAACTGAACCTCTTCAGTTTTCATTAAACATGTAAATAAATGATTTTACAAATATTTTTGGAATCCACCTGATTCTAGCTTCGAGTTGCACAAGTTCATTTCTAACCAGAAAGAATCAAACAAAATGCACATGTAAAACTTAAATTCAAACTGGATATTATAGTAATCCTTGACAAAATGGAACCACATTAGACTCTTTGAATCCATTGAAATATTCAAAGCCAGCCACAACTCCAACTGCATCAACTTGAGGGACAAGATACAGCTATCTAAAGCAAAAAAATGGAAAATCATGTCCAAGTTTGGTCTAGGCTGACATTCTTGTAAATTTGTGTCAATGCCAAAATGCTGGGTATGGATATTATTAAACTTGGCATCTTGTCAACGTGTGTAATCAATACCAAGAACATATCCACTGTTTGACGTACTAATTAGTCCTTGCCCTTCTAAAGGTCAAGTCAGTCGAGAAAGTTTGATTCTTAACTGAGTGTGACTTTGGATCTCCCGCCACATGCTTTGTCTGGTCCAATTATCTACAACTGGTTTGATCTCATGTGGTTTACTGTGATCTCCTTCATTTCACACATCCTGCCACATCTTTCCTAGTCTTTTCTTAATTACCAATTTTAAGTCAGTGGTGTCAATAGACATTAGATGCCTGGAAGGAATGGCTGATCTAGCAACAAGTATGTCATATAATTCATTTTCTCTTATAACAAAACAGCCTGGGACCCAACAGAATTTTAAAAGAAATTCATTGCTGACAATTAAAAAATCATTTTATAAATTTTTACAAAAATAGGACAACAAATACATTTATACAAAATCAGAACCCTGCAATGCATTAAGTGAATCATAATAAACAGTGCAGCAACAACCACCTTTTTTGCAATATGCTTTAAAGCTAAGTGGATAGGATGTAACTCCATAATAAAGATGGAGTTACATGTTGCTTTGCAAATTTACCTTCCCATTTATTTCAGAAATATAGAAAAATGATCATAGGAGAGCAGCTCAAATTTGGTATTCATATCAAATTTAGAAAAAAAGCATAGACATGTAGTGTGAAAGATCAATTGAGGAAAACATTTTGTTTGGACCAGGAAGTATGTCACTACTCTAGTATTAAATAGGTATAGATGGTGATTAAAAGCAAATTTTTTAATGATTTATGTGAAAACTACCCAATATTGGATTATAACCATTTAAATCATCTAATATAAGTAAAAGGATTGGTTTTCAAATGTGCTTCTGGAAGGCAACACGAATGGATGGGAATGAAAATGTTAATTATTTAATGTCAGAGACAGTTTCAGAAACTAAAAGTTTCATTGAATTATTTTATAATTCATTATGTACTTAAGGCAGCAGTTTTTGTATTGGTGTCCCTCTTTAATTTGACAAGTGCCTTTTTTCTTGGTAAAGTTGGTTGTGTCATCTCCATGCTTGTCTCATCAGAAATACCTAAAAACTCAATTACAAACTGAACTTCTGCAAGTTTACAGAAAGATTTCAATACAGAAGACTATGTCATTGAATTTTTTGCCTGACATAGAACAGCTATTCTACAAATCACTACATAAGAAACACACATTGCTGAGTATCTTTAAACACTAAATCTCCTCTTGCTGCATGTAGGACACAAATTAAAATAAGCAAAATGAGCACATTTAAAATTGACATAGTTTGATTGGCAGCAAGCAGGAATATACTTACAATATGTAATTACACGATACCAATGTCACATGTTCCACACTGTGAGTGTATACTCGTCCCTTGGCCAGACATTTTGGAATGATCATAATGCTGACATTGTAAGCAACAAAATGGATTTGGCACACATGGATGAACAATAAAAACCAAACAACCTGTAACAATGTTTAGATGATAGTGTTGGCAAATTAAATGGCAAAATGAGATGTTTGGTTGGTATATGTCATTCAGCTGTTACATCTTGGTCTGCAAGATCTATTTGACTATCAGTTTTAGCTGTCAAGTCAGTTGAAGAGATGTGATCTCTACTGAAAAGTCATCAAATAATAACTCCTTTCTTTTGTTTGGGTTATTTAAGTTTTACCAACTGTTGATTAAGTAATTTTTGGACTAGGAAGGAAATTTACCATTTATGTGTAAAATAAAGTATTGCGGTTGTATGGAGGAAGAGGAGACATTCTTTGGTGGGGATTGATCAACAGTAGAGGTTTTTGGCTTGTAGGATCCATAATTACAAAAACTGTTCAGCTCTTGGTGACCTCATATCATGAAAACCTTGTTGATTGCTATCACAAGGGTAACTCCCACAGACCATCATACCAGAGTTTACCAGGAGTTATACCTTTACAATGAAGTTAAACAAAAGCACATTTTTTTCTGAGATGAAAAACAAGAACAACCAGTACCTGTTTGTTCCACATCAATCTGCTGATTACAAGCCAAGGTAAGAAGTGACTCAACAATCAGCCAATTGACTGAAATTAAATTCATATTTCAACCAATTGACTGAAATATGAAGCAAGAACCAAAGCAGTGTTTTAGGGACATACTGTTCCTAGCACAATGCTTTGATTCTTGCATCATGTAAATGAGAGGCTTGCTTGAATCACACTTAACTGGTCTTGCCTTAACTGCCAGGATCTTTTATCATCATATGGATTTCCATACACAGCAAATGCATGGGTAATATTCAGATTCCAGAGATGGTAAAGAAATTCTAAACTATTCCTCGGAGATTCCCTAATCAGACAAGAATTCACATTGAGGAGACACAAAGGAGGTTTGATTGCAGAGAACATAAAAATATCCCATTGTTACAGATAAACACACAAAAGTAAAATTAAAGAAGTGTGAATAAAAAGAGAAAATATGAATTCTCATATTATCAGGCAATAAGCCTGATATATCAAAATAATGATAAAATAATAACATGTCAAAGTTTTCAGACATATTTAAATTATTTCAAATTTACTACTTATTAATTTAACAAATCAATCATACATATTCATTATTTGAGTTCTCACATTATTAACTAATTAAATTTTCTCAACTTAATAATTGTTTGATATTTTGTTAATCTGAAGAGTTACAAATAGTTTTCCCTTAAATATTTTTATCACTGTTCCTCATCAGAAGTTTTGTAATTTAATATCACAAAATATAAAATTAAATATTTGTTAAAACAGTATACAATTCAATTTTTCGTATTGTTTTAGGTTATACCGAATTTAACAATTATTCTTTACTAAAGATTGTAAAGTCACTAATTACAATACATTCAAATACACAGGGTCTTTCAAAACAAATGCACCATTTTAAATTATTGTAATTATGTTCAATATTATCCGAGAACATTGTAATTATATTAAAACATTGGAAAATATCCAAGTTTCACATTTGCCCAAATTTCTCAAAATATGCACATGTCACACAGTATACATCCACAGATACTCAAATTCTTCCTATGCTGGCTATAGCATATCCATTGTCAATACACCCATGGCAGCCAAAATTCTATAGCTCTTACATATTACTCGTGTTGTGCACTGACAAGTCATTCCAACTTTGCAAACTGCAAAATGCTTCTCTGTTGCAGAGTTGCTATTTTCATTTATGATACTTCCTAGAGGTAGCAGACAAGATTCAGATGCAGATGGCAGACAGAAGACAAAACAGACTCTATTGATTGGTGTATGTCACATACTTCTTGAATAATAAACATAGTTAACGTCATTTAGAATGGTAGCATTGTTTTGAAGACACTGGATTTATGAAATTTTAAGTTATCTATATAATATGGAAGCATAAAAATAATTTTAAGTTTTTAAATATTATGTATACTATACTTGCAACATAGATAATTTGTGGTTAGATATCTAAATCAATATGTATATGATAAATGTCTATGTATAGAAATGTATAGAATCATAGCCTTATCACATTAAGTAATTTATGTTTTTGTTGCATCACACTATGATATACTGCACAATATCAATACTTAAAAGTATGTAATAGAAATGTACAGAAAGCATTTGCCATTAGATATCACTTTACAATTATTTTAAGACTTTATTATAAAAAAACTGATATAATATAAACAATAGTCTATTAAAATGTAATTATTATAATATAATTTACTTTATTTTTTGGAATCCTCCTTCCTTCTGCAACTGTCTTCTTGCTATTAATGTATGCAGGATATAAACAAACCCACCTACAACAGTAAAATTATTTAATTGATTATTATTAAATTGTAAACAGAACAATTATTAGTCACTAATTCTTTGCTGTATTATAAATTCATATTAGAAATATCAAAGTTCAAAATTAGATTCAAATCAGACACAGAGGTAAATCTGTAACTAATTTTAAAATTTGTGACATTTGATCAAATTATAACTATTTGTAGTTTTTATACTTAACTTCATTATATTTATATGCAATAAATCAATAGAATTTAAATTGCTTTGGCATTATTCTAAATAAAATGCATAAACCTCATCCTATGTCCTTCAAATCTAACTCTCACCCCAAGTTCAAGAATTACTCAGAAGACGATTAATTCTCAGATATTTTATTTAAATGCATTTTGGTTTGGAATTCTTGCCGATACCTCTTCAGTAAAGTACAAATTGTGACAGAGTCTACACCAATATTTCGGACTCTTTCAAATCGATCACTGTAACCACCAGATTACATTGGAATAGTTTTCTATGATTAAATTAAAATTAATTTTTGCATCTGCACAGTAAGCAGGAGTTGCGGGTTCGAGTCCTATTCCAGATCAATTCTTTTCTTCTAGAATATTTGAAATTACTTAATTTATTTATAATTACTAAATTTAATAAGAGATGGCAACTAATGCCTCCCTCTAGAAAAAAATTAATTAAATTTAATTGTGGAAAATAGCCCAATTTAATCCTTGTTTGTTTGGCTTATTAAAAATACATCAGGTTTACAAGATGTTTATATATATATGAATAAATTTGAAGACAAAGTCTGTCCAAAAGGAACCACCATTTATGCACTTTGTGTTCTAGAATACAAACTTTTTTTAATGACTGACCTTTCTTTGTAGACTACTTGGCCATCAAAATAAAAGTGTCCTTTAAAATACACAAAAAATATCTAATTAAAAATACAAAATTTAAAAATTGGAACTGGTGACATTAAAGATGTCTTTTTTCTTTCCATCCTTAACACTTGGAGATGCTTGAGCTTCATATCTACTGGGGAATAGGTGCTGGTAAATGGAGATTTTTAGCTGTCCCCTGGTGACGAATCTTTGCAAAAACTTTTCAATTGTAGAATTTCATCAAATGGCAAGTATGTAAAAATAAAATTTGAAGACAAAGCTAGAAATCTACATTTACCGGCACTTATTCCCCAGTAGATATAAAGCTCAAGCATCTCCAAGTGGTAAGGATGGAAAGAAAAAAGACATCTGTAATGTCACCAGTTCCAATTTTTAAATTTTGTATTTTTAATTAGATATTTTTTGTGTATTTTAAAGGACTTTTATTTTGACAGCCAAGTAGCCTACAAAGAAAGGTCAGTCATTAAAAAAGTTTGTATTCTAGAACACAAAGTGCATAAATGGTGGTTCCTTTTGGACAGACTGTCTTTAAATTAATTTTTAAATAATTGCCATCTAATGTAATTCTACAATGTTTGTATGTTTTATGTGTTTTTTAACTTATATTTTTGGGACTTTCTAATTTTGATAATATCCATGATCAGGCTACAATAAGCAAGCTGTACTGTATCTAAAAAAAGCTATTAATTTTACTCTTGCTTATCAGGAAGCATCAACCCAGTGCTAAAATTTCATGTTATAATACACTTCATGTCATATAAACAATTTTAGTTCAGTTATATAAAGAAAAACATAAATTTTAAACAGTTTTAGGATACTGTTCTAATTTTTTCTTTTATTATAGATTTTCTTCAATTTTTGCAAATCATTTAATAATGCAAGAAACAAGTTTTAGAGCAGTAGTGCACAAACTATTTTCATTTCCACCCTCCCCATTTTATGTAAAATTTTGTTGCAACCCCTGGATAGATAGTACATGTTTACTGTGCTGTGACTATAATGTTGCATGGCAAGTGAAATATGCGTGTGTCAATACGTGTTTCTGTTGCAGCGCTTTCTGTTTCTGTTGACACAACATTATCAGTATCACTGTCTGTTTGCTTGCTGGTTGCCGAAGTATAGGTATTAGGTACTAATAAGCACAATTGTTTTCATAAAAAAATATATTGATAGTTCTTATAAATAGTTTCTTATAGTTTTTATAAATAATATAATTTCATTTCACTGTTTTATTGGTACCTGATACTTGTTGAAAAAATGCCTTATATTTTTTATTGTTAAATAAATTTCTTTGAATGCGGTGACCCCGAAAAATTTTCTCGTGACTCTCAGAGGGGTCACAACCCACGTGTTGTGTACCACTATTTTAGAGGATCATATCCTATGAAAGGTTGCTTCTGAATATGTGGTTCCTTTTGATATTTTTTGTTCATATGAGAATGGTACACTGTGCTAGTTAATATAAATACTGTTTGACAGAGATAAAATATAGGGTTATTCACAAATCTGCAAAACATTTTAAAAATTTATTATTTGTAAAGCACACAAACAAGTAGGGGAAGGTGGGGCAAGATGAGAACTTTAAGGTTTGAAAAGTCATAAGATGGCAACCACTTTGATGAGAACAATAATTTTTTATTCTTGGCAACTACAACATTTGATAATATATAATACAAAATTTAATTTTTGAAAAACTTTTTAAAAACAAGAAAATTTAATATTTTAAAATTATATGTAAATGCACCATCTTGCCCCACCCATGGGGTAAGACGGGGATATTATTTTTATATACAAGGAGGACAAATTAAAATGGTTAAACTGTCATTTTCTTCAATATTGACACAAATAGTGTGCCCACTTATCACAACAGCTACATTTAGCCCAACTCTCTGTAGATGCAGAGTATAACACTCCACAATAGAGGCATTCAGTGTCATTTGTGTTTTGTTTCTTATTAAGCCTACCCTTGCTGATGCCTGTAACTTTTGATTTTATGGAATTTCTTTTGGTAAACAAAGACCTGTTTTCTGCTGAAACTGCTGTTGATTGTTTTTGTTGTTCCATCAACTGCTGCTTGTATGGTGTATCTGTTAGGATTGCTGTTTTCCCTCTCCTCCTGCTATTTTCGATTTTTTTCTTGGTTCAAACATGTGGAATTGGCATTATTTCTATGGGAGAGACTTGAGTAAGAATTGAATGAGTAGGCCTTGTAATCAGTGACCATTTCTGCACCCAGATTAGGCATACCTCCGCCTTCATGGTTTTGGTTGTCCTAAAACGAGCATCCTGTGTGTCCTGCTGCTGACGGGTCCTGTTTGTCGTCTCTGCAGCAATAAAGTCTGCCTCCAAAAATACTTCTGGATTCATTGGCCATATTCATGGTCAACCTGGGGCAAGACAGGGTACCCCATCTTGCCCCAACGTGCACTTTTCATACTGACTGCAAACACATGTAGACTTTATTTCAAAACTAAACAATTGCAGTCATAAAGGTTACTTTGAATACCATAATATCTTCATCTAAAAGGTAATGTAAAGTTCACAACAATACTTACTTTGTAGAAACTTTGTAGCAGGCGTAAAATTAGATGAAGTATTGTTGAAACATGGAAAACGTGTCTTACTTCCAAACAAAGAGAGTGATTTGGACATTCTCTCATCTCACGATCCCTTTTGAGGTTGAAATTTAGTTCTCCAAACAGCTAGATGAAAGCACGTTAACCATGAATAAACAGACATCCCCATCTTGCACCACTTTCCCCCTACTATATTTTTAACATTGAAATAAAAGTTAATTCACAAAGATTTTTTACAAGTCACAAAGGTTCAATGTGTCACCTTTGCTGATGCAACAGACAACTAGCCAATAATCCATCTCCTCCCACACACGTCAGTACTTCAGTCTCTTGTAGAGAATTTGCCATGCCATTGATTGCAAGATGCCAACCTCTAAACTTACACATGTAGTGAACTTTAGGGGCTATGCTTGTAGGCTCATCATAACATAAATCACAGTAACCCCGGATATCTAGGATAAAGAATAGTGCATAGAGATGACCTTCATCCCAGAATTTTGGATATCATTTTGGGATAGTATAGTATACAGGTGGATCCTTACGGAATTCTGCTTAAAATTGTTATCATACAGTCACAACAGACAAGGTTCTTATGTATTCTAACACACAAAATGACTTTTCATGTTTGCTTAGCACCATATTTGATGCCTCCTAGTGACAAAGCACAGCAACTATGCACATATACTATTCCTGAAAAAAACTTGAAGAGTTACCTTTATTCAATGTTAAAAATACAGCAACATTTGTGTAGTTTATGAATAAATAAATAAACAATTACCTATAACCAGCATTAATTCTCTTATAAACGAAAATTTTTCTTTCGTCTTTAATGGTCATCATCAGGTTTCTATGCTTGGACTGTTTGTAAAAGAATGCATCTTCCAAAAATTTAAAAATTGCACGTCTTGAAGATATGTGCATGCTCAATGTAGCTCTTTAAAAAAATGATTCTTCAAAGCGGATTCCTATTTTAAAAATTCAATGTTTATATAAATTACTAGCTGTTACCCGTGGCTTCGCTCACGCGGATTTTGCAAGCAAACCCTATTTACATTTAATATTTCAACAACCATAGTAATTGTTATATAACACCTACCACTGAGAATGATGAGAATTGCTGAGAATCAAACGAACTGTTTTTAATTTGATAAATTTTCTGGAACGTTTACAATCGTTCTATAATCAAACCAATATGCAAAAAAAAATTTGAATTTAAAACGGTTTGAACATTTGGTTAAAAAATCAAAATATACAGTCGACCCCCCTATAATTACGGTCCCAATAATTACGATTCCTATAAAACTGCAAAAAAATTGTGACGGTATCCGTAAAAAACAGTAAAAAACCCCCTATAATTACGTTAAACGTCATCGGGTAGCCGAACTACTTTCCCGCCGTCCGTAGCGCCACGCTACGGAGAGATTTCTATCATCTGGACAGTATTATATAAATTATATATAAATTAGGTACTGTACATATAATTATATATTAATTATATATAAATTAGGTACT